ACAGCATTGCAAACCAACTCTGCTTCCATAAAATAAATTAAAACAAAAGACCAGAGGTCTTCAGTCAGCTGGTGACAAGCTTGCTGCCTCTCATTAAGTGAGAGGCCAGTTCACGGGGAGAAAACAAGGGTGGGGGGTATCCACAGAGGAACCCCCGGGTGCTGGCATCATGCAGTCAGACTTAAATGCAGGACACAAGGAGGCAACCCTGCCACTCCTGGGAGTTCGGGGGAGCCATCGGCCCACCCGGAAAGGATGGCACCAATGGTGGCCTCCAGGCACTTCCCGGCAGTTAAGGACCTCGAAGAGGCTGAGAGTGAGCCTTAGACTAAATCTCCTGGTGTCCTCCGTTCTGAGGCGCACCCAACCCAGAGAGGAGACCTGACCTGACCGTCACTTAGGTCTTCTCTTACACTGACCACACACACTGCCTGGCGCTCGGGTTCATCCCCACCTCGACCCCGTGAGTCCCCAGTTTGTGTCCCCAGTTTACCCGGGTGAAGAACCTAACAGTCTATACAACAAAACTTACTCGGGTGGTGAGTGTCAGACGGGGGTTCAAGCCCAGGCACCCAGGTGTTAAGCATGTGCTTTGCCACCTCAGAAGCACCAGGACTGGACGGGTCTCCCCCTCAGCTTTCAGGACAGAGAGCGGCCAGCGAGGCTCCCTGCTCCTGTGACCTTACGCCAGTTTACCCACCATCCCCAGGTGAGATTCTACAACTGGTGACGCTACAGTGGCCACAGAGCCTTGCCCTGCTGCCGCGTGTATACCTGCACAAATGCTGCACACCTGGAAAAGCAAGCGAGCCCCCCCCACCACCACCCCCCGGCCATGGCCAAGAGACTGAGGCCGACGTGAGATGGCTGGGAAGCACACGCAACGGGCTCCCCCACTTACGAAGATGTTTTGCTGTCCCGGGACCACTTTTTGATTTGCGAGAGCTTGTTGATCAGAAAGATGCCCTTTCCCTGGGCTTTGCCACAAGGTTTCATGATCCAGGTGCTAGAGGGGCTTTTCCTGAACTCCTCCACAAACAGGTTGTAGTCGGCAGGCAGCATGTAGGTGACGGGGACGAAGTCTGAGGGTAACAGAGAGGGGACAACAGTGAGCCAGCCCACCGGGGGCCACGGACAGAAAGATGCTCCCACTGCCTCTTCAGGGCCTGTTTCGCTACCTCACGCCCCCACCCAGCATGTAACAGGGCAGGGGCTTCTGCAGTTCAACCCCGGTACAACACAGGCGCACCTCGTTTTATTTTGCTTCACAGATAATGTGTTTTTTACAAACTGAAGGTTTGTGGCAACCCTGCGTGGAGCAAGTCTATCGGCACCATTTTTCCACAGCATTTGTTCACTTTGTGTTTCTGTGTCACGTTTTGTTAATTCTCACAGTATTTCAAACTTTTCCATTATTATCATGTTTGCTATGGTGATCTGAAATCAGTGATGTCTGATGTTACTACTGCAAAAAAATTACAACTCACTGAAGGCTCGGATGATGGTTAACATTTCTAAGCAATAAAGTATTTT